TAAAATATTACGTAGGTAAAGTTCGCACCAGATTCGAGTAATTCCACCACCGATTCTCTCAGGAAGTATTCCAGAAGAGCTCCAACTGAAATTCGAGGTGCTCTATCCAATGGTGAAATGCTATTTATGATATCTTCCAGAAACCGCGCAAAAATCCAAGAATACTGTTTTTTTCTCATGGGCCATAGGCAAACTTGGAAGTAATTCCATCACCGATTTGCCCAGGAACTATTCCAGGTTGTTCCAGAAGAGTTCTAAGTACAATTCGACGTCCTCTATCCAATAGTGAAATCGGATTTACGATATCTTGAACGATAACTGCAAAAAATCAAGAATACTGCTTTGACTACCAGGTTTACTTGTGACCCATGGGAAGAAAACAGTATTCTCGGGTTTTTGCACGATTGCTTGAAGATGTCTTCAATCGGATTTCACTATTGGATAGAAAACATCAAATTATAATTGGACCTCTTCTGGAACAACCTGGAACACTTCCTGAGCGAATTGGTGGTAGAATTACTCGAATCGAGTGCTAGCTTTACCTGCATCGTGACAATTGATAAAATAATTCGTTTGGTATCATTTTTCTGCTATTTCTTTGGTCTTTCTTGTACGACGAATCTGAATTATTTTCGTTATTTTTCAAACCTGGTACAACTTGTTGTAGTACTTACCGATAGTACTCTTGATTGTCTTTCGGGATCATTGATATTCAGTAATACTTGTTGAGCATTTCATATTGAGTAAAATACATGACAACTAACTTGCAGCTTATTAACAATCTTGAAAAGTGGCCAATATCGTCCACAAATCAGACAAAAATCTGCTACTGCATCCAAATCTAACATTGATAAAGTTATAAGCAACCTAACATGCGTTTAGCTTTTGAAGTTGAGTTTTTCTTGTTGCTTCACTAGATCCTTCATATCTGCATGATTATTGTTTGTATGTACTTTACAGAACTGCTTCCATAGTGAATTTATCGGACTTGCTAAACTCATGAGCCTCGACTTATTGAATAAAAATTTACGAACTAGATGTCTCTTCAGTTTGATGCTTGTGAAACTACTATCATGTTCTCCTTGAGTATGCATGAACTTGTCAATTCCAGTAGTGATTCCCTTTGGCATATGAATTAGTTTATCAAACCTACGTGTGAGCAAGTGGGGCTATAAAAAAATCACTGAATAAACACAATGCTGTCTCAAAAAAAGAATGTTCTAACGATTTTAACCTAGTAATCAAAGTGCATTGAGGATAATACAAAACATGCATTAGGTTTATATTCGATAAGTTGATTTGCATTCGTTTGAACGATGAGAAATTGTAAGCCTTAATATTATTTATATTTAGAACATGACGAACAGTACTAGACAGCATGACAATATGTCATATTTGGATATTGTACAATCGTTTGCCTGAAAAATCCGAGCTTTAGAGAATGTACAAAACTGGACACATTTTTTTTGGAATATCAATCTCTGTGAAAAGAATGGGTTTATTTCTCTCTTATGAAATGGCTATTTTTTTATATAAATTTTCCATGTGTGAGATGTTTTTAAGCACGTATCTCTTATATAATAGCTGCTTGAAGTACACATTTTTGATGATTTTAATGAAGAATCTATTATTCGAAGCAGAAAAACGAAGCATCATTGATGAAGTTAGTTCTGTTTTCTGTGAATTCAAATAAAAATTTACAACAATGAACTTTTCTAAATCACTTTGTATTGTTGAAAACCTTTAATTCTAGTTGGCTGAAAAGTTTTGAATTGAATCTAAATTTTGTTCTATAGTTTTTGAGCTATTATTAAAAGCTACTTAGTAAACTCTTATCGTCTGAAACACTTTATATAAACCAAAGATTTTCTTTTTAACAAGAACTTGACATATATTTTGGTTAAGTTTATTTAATAGTGATGTTTTTATTACAAGATTACAATTTTCTCAAGTTTCGAGAATCAATTTGCGTGTATTGACAATATTTAATTTTGGCAAAGTTTGTCGAACTTAAGTAATAGAAAACATAGATAATGAAAGAAATAATCTTATTTCTTTCAAACCAAGTCAAAATGTTATTAAAATCATATTAATTGAAGCCTATTAGGATTCATTCGATTCAAACAAGTGAAAGCATTAAATTTTTATCGAAAAGGTTTTTTTTATTATTTCATTTGTCGAGCAAAATCTTATGAAAGGAAAAATATTGATAGAATAAATGTTCATCTATTTGCATAGTCAGGAAAAGTTCTTTATGTTAGATATAACTCTTATCTTGTAAATAATTCTATCTATAGGAGTAATATAGTATATTATCTTATTTTGAGCGACTCATTTGTACTCTAAAATTAGACTGTACCGAAAAGAAAATCTTTCAAAGACAATTGTCCGTTTTATCTGTAGCAATATTTTGCGGAACCATCTTCTCGTTCAATCTATATTTATTAGAATGTCAAGAGAGTGTCTAGTTTGGCCATAACTACTATACTGAGAAAAAGAATTAATATTTATACTCACTTTCTCTTCATCTTCTGTTGCCCACATATTTTGACTGTCCTCGTTTCGAGTAAATTCACGAATATTTATCGAATTAATATTATTGTACGTATATCATTCTTAGTGTTACACATTTTCTAATATACAAACGTTTATCTATTTTGTTGAAGTTTAATCATATGGGTGTAATAAGCGTTGATGTCGACTTTGTTTATATTTACATGATTGTGTCAACTTTCAGACGAAAAATAAGTACATGATTGATGCCCACTGACGAATTGTTATTCTTAAACAGTCAACTAACATTGACTTATGCAAAAATATTCACAAAACGAAAATACACTAATAAACTCTGAGAATTTAAAAAATGTCTCAAGAAACTATTGACCCGTTCGTAAGCTTTAACAAAAGCTTGAAAATCCATTTAATAATGTTTCGGTTAAATATCAATTAACTAGATAGCGAGATCTATTATTATATTGGTTGTAAGATGACAAAGTTGCAAAGTTAAAGTAGACTTTCTCTTGGCTTTTTTTGTAATCGTAAGTTATTATAAATAAATAATAACACGCTATGTTCTAAAGTAGTTCTTCAATATCTTACTGGATCGTCATTGATATCGTGCATAGCAGTTGAGTGAAATGGCATATGTTCGCTCTAGCAAAAGAAAAATAATGCAGATAGATAGATAACGACCAAAAATAACTAGAATAGTTATCTTATTTTGATGAAGGATGACGTCGATATGAGTTTTAACACCGTTGATGGTGACGAAAGATAATGATGGCTAGCAGATTATTCACAAATGATGCTAAACTGTGTAGAGTAGTATATGCTAAATATGAAGGAGGACATTTCCATGCAAAATAAATATTCTTCTTGAGCACGAATCTTGATCAATCCCAATCGATTGTTCGAGACCGAAGCAAAGATCAATATAAAATAATTTTCAATTTTCGATTGTCTTTTAAGATCTATATGAACACAACAATCACCATAATTCATGAAAAATTTAACTTTTACAGAACACCTGAAGAGTTATTTTGATCATGGCAGAGAACAAGGCACTGAAAACATAGCCTAAGTCATTGCATAGTTGACCAGTACATCCTCAAATTTAGATAAAATGATGACTTCATTAGTCAAATAACTTTACAAATAAAAATGTCAGTAGCATAAATAAACTATGCGATCTTAGAATATATAGTTAAACAACCTCACAAGCTCTGACATTGATAATATTTTCTGCTATACGTTTTGTTAGAATTATGCTTAATTTATGTTGATATCTTGCTATCTGTCATAGTGTCTTTTGATTTTCTGCTTTGAACGAGTGTGAAGTTAAAGAAATTCAACTCTATATAGTCGATTTGATCTGTTTGAAAGATTTTATTTCAACCATAAAATTGAAAATTTCTCCAAACGTACGAAAATTTTTCAGAAACTTTGGCAGTACACTAATTTGGTTTTCTAGTTAGTGAAGCAACGTCAGTAAGCTACGATATTAGAAAAACTCCGCTGGAAAAGTCTTTACAACATAATGATTTTGTATATTTTTAAACATTACTTGTTACTTGAAAAACATTAGACTGAAGTATTACAATTTTGAAACGAAGAAATTACACGAGGAAAACAATTATGTGTAGGAATAGATGATTTCTTGAAAACCAAAGAAATTTTTACTTTCTGACGGGGCGGTAAAGTTCACCTGATATCGCTGATACGTATCAATTATTGCATGTAGCCGTGCAAAAACATTACGGGTTGAACAAAATAGGTCGAAGTCATCCAAATTGTTCAAAATGTGATAGATGATTTCAATTGGTAGTTTGAAAAGAAGCGAAGAAACCTGATATGCCATACATTTTGCCTGTTATCGGATACACCAGTTTGTTATAAATGAATGTCTGTTGACTATTTTCCCATTATATTCCTACCTTTTCATTGACAATAGGGTGTGGATAATGGGTGGGTACCTGTAGTACTCCATTATACCCACACTGCACATCTCATATCAATGAGTGGAACAATGGCAAAATTTAATCAACCAAAGAAAAAAGAAAAATTAAACATCTATAAGATAATTGTTTATAGATCAAATATAAATAAGATGGATAGCAACGATATTTTGATTGTTATATTGTTCTCTAGTTTAGATTGGTTAGTTGGATTACTTTATTTTTTATATACTTGATATCTATCATGAATGATTGCAATGTTGAAGAATAAATAAAGCGTTGGTTGATATAGAAAGCATGATAATATAGATAGTTTTATTTTTTGCAAGCTGTCCATCGGATGCATGAGTACAGAATACATGTATGATAGCAAGAGATCTATTGTGCTCTAGACAAAGAATCTACTCAGTTCGAGTACTCAGTAATCTTTTTATAAGTTTCTATGAAGTCTCTTGTAATTAGTAGTTATGCTTTGAGTTGTTCTCTAATGAAAATAAAGAAAGATAAATTTTTTTTCCGATTGCATTACAACAAAGTAAATATCACTTAGAATGAAATGGCAAATTGTCTATCGGTTATTTTATACTCAATTGAAGTGGATCGTTTGGCATTAGCTTTACTCAATGCTGTCAAGCATTCTTTTAACCATAATTTAAAGTCTTCGTTAAAAGTTGGTTGTTGTTGTTGTCCTTCTGGTGTCTGTAGTTCTAATTCAAATATGAGCAATTCGGGACATATTCCACACATTAACAATGGTAAAATAAGGTAAAAATTGTATGTTGGAAAATCAATATGCAACTGAAAATATAGAAACTTCAGCTTTGCAGCAAAAATGTTGAATATTTGAATCATATTTTCAAGTAATGGCGGATCAGTATTAAATATAATCCGTAATGTTTCAATCTGTTTCTGTAATATTTCTACCATTGATGATGATTTGAGAAATTCAAGTAAGTTATTGTAACATAAATAAAGTCTGCTGACCTTGTGTAAGATAACGAGAAGATCGTGTACAAGTGATACTGATGGAAAGACCGAATCGGTTGGTGAATTAATGGTGAGATCAAGTGTGGTAACATTAGATAAATTAGAAATCGATTGCATTATATGAGAACAGATTAAGCTAAATAATAACAAAACTTATTCATTTCATATAAATTTATAAAAATCTACTCTTCGAAAAATTCACTTGACATGAATAGTTTCTATCGTACAAGAATCAACGTTTCTTATTCTTTTTAATTATCAATTGATCATATTTTTCAAATTATTTAGGAAACATGAATATCAATAAGAGATGTTACCGAAATAAATCAAGTGGCATACCTTGTTTTTGAATCATTCTCCGGCGTAACGACTGTCATTTGTGAATGAATGTTGATCGTTGTTATCATTGGATAAACAGTCAGTTTGTCATTCGTCAATAGCTGATCGTCATTCAATGTAATTTTAAGTGTTGTTATATTTTTATCAATATCAATCTCATAATTTGTTGGTGTTGTATGTCGTTGTTTTCCGTACAACTCTACAATATATCGACCATCATCTGAGGGTTGTGAATAGGTATACAATTCTAATAATGGTGACTTCAATAGAATGTTATAGTCCATAATCACACAGTTATCAATCCATTTAGTTTTGATATTGTCGAATGCATCGACAAGCTCAGATGGTGGACTTTGCTCTACAGCAGTTCCTGAAGTGAAAAATCGATGGCCTTGTAATTAATCAATAGAACGCTGAGATTTGTAATTGAGTTACCGCAAATTTGAACGTAAAACTGAAATGTTTTCAAGTTCAATAGATTTTTCGATATAAATTCATGCCAGATTGTTGCTGACGTGAAATCCAAACTATCGATCAGTGCGAAAAATGTTAAATGGTTTAAATTACGAAACAATTTCAGAACAAGTTGGAAATCCGTTAATGACAAAAAAGATAATGACATATGCAGACAATTTAATAATACTAGAACAGAAAATCAACAGAATACATAATAAATTATAAGATTTCTGTAGAATTGAATTTTCTCTTAAACCTACTAAAAAATTCATACCTCCAATGAACACATAACTACTGTAGGCATGTCCAAGTAAGTGAACAATAAGTGATGTCGGTTGACATGACTAATCCGACATGTCCAGAATATCCGTCAAGTCTAGTCTAACGTGTCTTTCATGCTCGCCAAGACTAGTTCTTTTGATAAGAAACGACTTGCAACCGAGTCTGGACTAGTACACAATGTTCCCATCATGCCCCGTCCAGACTTTTCGGTAGGCCAGAAAAGTAATAAAAAAACAGTAGACAAAAGGTGGAATCGAATATTCGACCAAACAGCATTCAATACCAAACGGATGTTCTGATGGTAGACGATGACTTAGTGAAAGACTGACGTCAATTTAAAAGACTGAATAACAGAACATATTGAAAAGGAAAAGAAATAGAATGTAAGACAAGGAATTTTTCAATGTTTGTATTATTTTTAAAAACTACTCATGAATGATCTGATGCATTCTTTTTACCTTCGTATTTAAAAAATGTGAAAGTGTATCGAAAAATAAAAAAGTCGAAGTAAGTGCAAAATACAATTTTTATCTCGTAGCAGCACCTGCCAATTTATCTAGCTTAAAATTGATTTTATTGTGTTCAAAGAAGACGTTCTGGTGATTTAAATTTAAAAATGAATTTAAAAAAACAGAATTTTCGTTTAGTTGTGAGGTTAAATTGTAATACAAAAAAATTAGTTTCTTTTTCCTCTAAATAATTTATAATTCTATTTTGGCATTTAACATCTTTTGCAAGGTAACTAACCACTACACAGTTGATAATAATCAAAAGAAATTCCTTAAAAAAGAATTTTTTTCATTAAATAAATTTATTGTTCAGTATCGTCTAAATAATTTCTTGATATGCAATAGACAATTATTTATTCATATGATTATTTGAAAAGGTATGAGTAAAATTGTCTTAAATAGCACGTTAGAATGCTTATGAACTTGTAGAAGTTGATCTCTAGATCATTTGTCTCAATGGACTAAATGATGGGTAAGTGATAAATTGTATGCATGTTCGAATCAAATTTTTATCCTTACGTATTTTCATTTAGACTAGTCCGGACCCATCCACAACATAGAATACAACTTACTCTATATACGGTCCCTGACGTTCTTCGTTTTTCAAATTTAAATTACTATCGGGCGGGCATCTCTGTCGTCCTTCCTGACTAGTCTGAACGGCTGCATATGTACTTTCGTCTCAATTTAGAACATCTATAGTTCTGGACGGATCGTTTTTGACTGAAGGAGTATTCTTACTATGTTTGATGACAACCGTCAACTACATCGTTAGAGTTGGTATGTCTGACGAATCGAAGTTGAGACTAGTCCTGACCGAGAACTTTTTGAGATAAAGACTAGACAGGATGGATTGATCTGACTAGAAAAAAACTAGTCATTTAATCCGACTTTTGTTCGCTTGGGGGTGCGCCCATTTCATTTCTGACAAGTCAATCGATCGGAACTGGAAACGATGCATAACTAGACATCTTGGTTTTTCTCACTACTCAAATATAACTTTTTCGTTCGAAATAGTTTTTACTTTGCATTCATCAGCTCTACCTGGTATTTTTGGATATCCATCATCGCTACTAAGTAAATCATCAATTATATTTGGATCGATTGAATCCGAATCCTGATCGCGTTCATAGCTGATTCCAATTTTCATTCGCTTGACGTTTGGACCTACATATTTGAGCAGCTCCAAAAATTCCTTAATGTGACAACTATTGATTGCCAAATATTCCAGCACATTCAGCCGACGAATAGTGTGATGAGTAAAATCGAAATTCATTGGTTTAGCTGAATACATGATTAGATATTTCAATGACTGCAATGAAAATAATGCTGCCGTCAAATGAGCCGATCCAATCGATACTCTATATACATTCAAATAGGATAGATATGGTAATAAATATAATTTAGTCACTATTCTATCTGAAGGAGAAATGAAAATTTGCTAAATTATATTTTAGATTCATTCAATATTCACCGAAATTCTCTGGAGATGAGTCCGTGATAGTCAATGATCTCAAATTTGTAAAAATAGTAATATCACTTTGTTGATGAAATGATGTCAGACGATCGTATTCATCGGATAATTTTAGACTGTAGATAGATGATGCCAATAGTTTTTGACTAGAACAATAATTATCGAATGCACTTTTTGTTGATGTCAAATCCAAATGCAATTTCAGTGCATGGCATATTTTATTTAAACGGGCGTTTAAATCATAAATAGCATCATATAGATCACAGTGTGATAAATATTGAAATGTGTAATTTAACAATTCATTTGGTAATTGTTCCAAAGTTGATATTAATGGTAATTTTTCGATCTATAAATACAAAGTACAATATACAGTTACTGTGTCTATATAGAAAAGTTTGTCATTACGAATGATGAAATTTCTATAGGTTGTTACTACTCAAGGTTCTGTCAAACGATACAAGTATTTACACTGGTTAACTCCAAAAGCTATAGGAATGTAACATCATAAGTGAAATTTTCATAGAAACACAAAATAATCCATCTTACCTCAGTCTGAGATTTATTGTTTTCTTCAACCATTTTCGTTATTGATTGATTGATTTGAGAATAGAGGAAGAACAGTTATGATATCCGTATCAAGAATCCAAGTTAAGAAATTGAGTGTAAACTGTCTTTCTATAACTTAATTTGTAATCTGGAGCAAAGATAAAAATGAATCAAATGTTTACTAATCGATCTGCATTTTTTTTAAGTAAAAAGAAAAAATTAAAACTAAATATTATTGGTATCGATTATGTTAAGAGTGTTCGTCAGGAGATCAACGTATGATGGTACTTGAAATTTTCTATTCTTAGCTGATTATGAAATCAACGTATAGCTTTAAAGGATATCACAATAGAAAACTCATGTTTATTTACAATCGCTTACTGCTAGATATGCTTTTTCAAGCTGCCTGTAAATAACAGAAGACGATAACATTTTTCACTAGGAGTAATAAATATCACGTGCAAGTCACTATTGATGCCTTTGCAACAAAAAAACATAATGATAATATTATTGATATAAGATTTCAATAGCTTGATGATGAATCACTGAAAAGGCAGAACAAAATATTGACTGTAGAAATGCTGACAGAAAACGAACGAAAGAAGAGAATTGAAAAAGTGATGTCTCTATTAAATAATCGAAAAATGATGCACGTGTCTATATCTTCTTCACCTTCGTTTAATAAGAATGATCGACTATCCTCAGCTATTTCATTTATTCAGTTGCAAAAAGAAAAACTACTACTTCTAATAGATACAAATATTTTTCAATTAAAAAACGCAACCACAGCAAAAAGAAAACATTCGATATGCACACAACTCATACTCTTAGTACTTATTTCTTGATATTCCATATAGTCGTTTTAATAGACGACGTATCTATATTGTGTTTCATGCGTAATTCTCAAACAATAAAAAACTGACTCTTGACATCATGTTTTTCATCTTGTATCTATCTATGATATATATTATGTGATATCGCTATTAAATCAAAAATAATATCCTATTGGTTCTGTTTTCTCAAGATTTTTCCTTTCGGCGTTTCTACAGCGTATCAAAAAAAAAATCAGCAACTGCCCAAAGTTAATAGAAATGATGTCATATTATCAATATTTACTTCCCAAACATTCGCTTTTAATTTTTCCATGATTTCAAACAGAAAAAAAAACCTGTACGCTTATTTCTTACAAGTTTCTGATTCATATTTTGCATTATGACTCTGCACTAAATGAGACCTCCGTGATGGGGATGTAGCTTCAAGGATAAGTAAGAAGAAAATTCTAGAATATGAATAAATCCATAATTCATTTTCGGGATGGGTGAGAGTATGGGTAGGCTGCCTAGGTTTGTGACTCAAGTGCGGATAATAAACACCTACACCTAGATTGGGTGTGGGTGTGAGAGTTCAATTTAATCCATTCCATTTCACATCCACTCTCGGCTACGCCCACCCCTCACATCCTTCCAAATATACACTCCAGACCTGCCCACACCCTGTCGGCGCTAGTCTTC